ATGTCGACATCAAAAAGGAAGTGAAGATGTAATTATAAGGAACCCGCTGTCGGATTCACCGACAAATTTTGCATTTGGCGCCCAATTTTTATCCAATTTGGTGCAGCGCGGAGCAAGTACCAAATTTTCTAATGCATGGGTTCTGTCTTTTAGATGGAACCTTTTCATAGTGTGATCGAAGTGCGATAGAACCTTGAAGGTTCTATCAAGGCGACAGATCCATTTTGAGTGAAAATGGTACGATATTTGAGAAAAAAAGATTCGTCGAATTAAAATGGTTCAATGTCGAACCACGTATGTATATTATGTTATCCCTCTTTTGGCATGGCTCTCAGTATCTATGTTTCCATTACAAACAATTCATATCTTCGAATATATTTTTTGTTGCTCAAAACATTTTCCAAAAATTCAACAGAGCAGTTGTCCGTCCGCCGTTTTTTCGAGCCTGCCCATGTGCGTCCATGGCCGCGGCCCCGGGATTTGCCGTAGAGATCTCTAATTCAGAGTCTTTGAGTCCAAAAAAGCTTTTGGTATGATAAGATATTTTTCAGAAAGTACTGCTAGCTTTCAAAAGAGAATCAGATTTTCCTTGTTATTGATCGAAATTTCGGTGTATTATGGTATTCTGGCGAGTGCCGGAATACGCCTCGAGAAAAAATAAAAAGATATCGCAGTGAAAACAATATATAGAAAGACGCTGCTCTTTCGCCGTTGGAAAAAATCACGTTGGATTGCGATTTTTCTTAAAATAAACCATAGAAACCGAAATCTTTGAAACAAACTAAGGAGGTTTTTTCCCACTGAGATGACGCTGATAGATTGTACTGATTTAAATAGAGATTAATCAAAGTTTAAAATACCTCCAGCTTTTTCTAATTGAAGTTAAAAACTGGTAACAAAATCTTCTAAGAGTTTCCATATAAAATTCTTTTTTTGTTTACACCTTTCCTGTTGATATTTGAAAGAAAATTGTTGAGTAGTTGATCAATGACAGTCGTATGGTATGATACATGGGATGAAGATAAATTATCGAATTTAATCGAAGATGCTGTATTCAAGTATCCCAATACACGACGTGCCACATTGGAAGAATTACGTGCATTTGTTCAAGAGAAAAATTTTGTAAGCCGTGATGCTGTCGTTCAACTCAGTTTCGAAAATCAACAAGTCAAATATAAACAAGCGGCAAATAATTTGCTAGAAAATTGCTGTCCATTATAGAAACATGTGTTTAATGAATGGTATCATCAACAAACATTGGCGACGATAACTGACTTCGAACAAGATCAAGTTCATCATTTAGATGATATTATAAACGAATTGAAAAATACAAATTATTTAGTGATGGTGTTTGGTAATACTGGAGCAGGTCCTGTCTTTTTCATGCTTGACTTTAAAAAATCACAAAGCATTTTTTTGTTGTTTTATTCTTTAGGAAAATCGCCGATCATTAATATGTTGTTAGGTGAAAAACTCATGAAGACGACTCCAATAAAAACAACATCATCTTTGTGTACAATACGCAATGGTGACGTAAAACAACTATTAGTTTTGAATGATGAGACGCATGAGTATGACAAAAAAGATATTACTTCCATTTTCTTAAAGTTATTAACAAAAAACGTTTTCTCCTCTGACACAAAACATTAAAAGACGCGTTTAAGAAGACGATCAAGCAACAAAAAACAATTGACACGCAAAATTGAAATGAATGATTTTGCTTGTGAAGCGAACGTGAGTCAGTCCTCCACTTCACATCAGTATAAATGTGTCATTAACAACAAATATTGTGCAAGAGAAGTGAAAGTGCACGTTTGTATTACCATAGTTGGAAAAAAGAAATCGACATCAACATTTTGTCTGGTCGAGATTAGCTTTGTGAAACGTTGACACGATGCTTCTTCGACTTCTCTTCTTGCTGACCATTCTTATGTAAGTTCTTTTCTTCCACACACATACATATCAAGACAAAATGTCTCTGCAATATAACAAAACCCATGTTTATCAAACCGCCAATTAACCTCGGTTAACCGTTCGGTTCTAAAAGCAAGAAAAAGGATATTTCACCTTCACTATCGTGGGGGAAGAAAGTATTCCTGGTACTAGTCAAAACTGACACATAATACACGCGAAGGCATACTAGGACTGACTGTATATACTCTCTGAAGTGGAAAACAAAACGCCACTTCTTCCTGTTCGTTTCAAGACACAACAGAAGCATTTTGCTTGAGCATACCACGACGCGTTTCAATCGATGCTCAACGGTCTCATCAGGTGGTCGTAATACTCTTCGTTCGGATGTTTAGAACTCGAAGATATTACTTTCTTTCTGCTCTGATCAATATGACCTGAACTCGAAAAGCAACTTACTGAGAATGGCATGATGCTATTTATATACTGATATATATACTGTCTAGATTAGACTGTCTATTTAAAGAAGAATAGCAGCCGTCGACTGACGTGATTTTTCTTTTGTCAGTACGCTCGGTTTCATGTATTATTTTATGTATTTTTTCACTTTGCATCATATGTTTCTCTTCTCAGGAAAATGATCGTCATGTCTCTTGTAGTAATGGCACACTTTCGTATGCTATCTATCTACCTATATATATAAAGAAGAAAGTTTGTTTGTTTGTTCTTTATGCATTTGATCCCGGTAAGAGCCAGTGCGACCAAACTTTGTATGGCACACCCTTTCGACCAGGAGAAGGTCAAGACGGGATCGGCGCGACCGAGGGAGCGGCGGAAGAGCAAATGTTCTCGGATTTTTCAAAAAATTGGAGAATTTTCTCCGATTTTTGGAGTACCCTCCTCTGCTTTTACCTCTTTGTGCCCTCCCCCCCTTCTCCGGGTGATTCTGCTTTTCGATTCAAAATTTTTACCTGCGAGGTACTTAGTAGCCCTGTTGTTGGAACGCTACAGTAAGTATCCCATCCAAAAAGTCTGAGCGTACAATTGTTTTCTTAATAACCGGAGAACGATAGGAGATGAAGACCTGAGATTTTCGCCATTGCACACAAGAGATTCCAGGCATGAAAGTATGAACAAATTTGATTGATCAATTTGCTGATCAACCGGATTTTAGGATATTTTCATGTCAGTAATATTCTTTTGATCAAGTTTTCAATGAAAATGTTTCAAAACGATAACAACATTTTACAAAGAAGTAGAATAACAGTAGGGTTAAAGAAGTTACTAAACTAACGTAGAACTGATTCAAAGAGTTCACCAAAAAGGATTTATTTATTAGCGTGGTTCTTAAATCGATTTTTCCAAGCATTCATCAAAGCGATTGTTTTCAAACATATATCAAGCGCATGATGTATCACATTCTTCCTGAACTTTATGTGGAGTGCTCAAGAGTTGGAACTGGGAAGAATTTGTATGTTTTTGCCTCTAATGCGAAAACCGAAAACATTGTGTATCAAACAGCTTTGCAATAAAAATTGTATTTCACAGGACACAGTCGCTCTTAAATGAAAGAAGCGCATAAAACAAAACAAAACATGCTGAAAAGAATTAAAATTAAAATAATAGTAATATATTTAGTAATATATATAAAACTTTAAAATGCGAAGAACAGAAAAAAAGTTGAAAAGGGAAAGTAATCCGAGTGTGTTTTGGAACATTCAAGATCGGTAACTTATACGAAACCATAAGACCGTCGTTCCCCAACATGTTAAGTATGCAAAATTGAATTTTCCAGGGCAACGCCGGGTACTTCAGCTAGTATATTATATAGCGTAGCATACTGACAAAAGAAAAATCACGTCAGTTGACAGCTGCTTTTTTTCTTTTTTCTTCTTAAATATATGCGTATAAATAGCACCATGCCATTCTCAGTAAGTTGCTTTTCGACTTCAGATCATATTGATCAGAGCAGAAAGAAAGTAATATCTTCGAGTTCTAAACATCCGAACGAAGAGTATTACGACCACCTGATGAGACCGTTGAGCATCGATTGAAACGCGTCGTGGTATGCTCAAGCAAAATGCTTCTGTTGTGTCTTGAAACGAACAGGAAGAAGTGGCGTTTTGTTTTCCACTTCAGAGAGTATATACAGTCAGTCCTAGTATGCCTTCGCGTGTATTATGTGTCAGTTTTGACTAGTACCAGGGATACTTTCTTCCCCCACGATAGTGAAGGTGAAATACGCTTTTCTTGTTTTTATTTTACGGTTAACCGTCCGATTCAGTGTGCGCTATCCCGTCCGGTTAACCGCAATTAACCGAGAACTGGCACAAAATGCTTGATTAGCCGCGGTTATTTCACGGCTTTTTTGCTGAGCAAGCGATATAAGTACAAATCCTCCTCTGAACATTTTTTCATTTTTCCGTTGAGCGTTGAACTTTTACGACTTCCATAGCAGTATAAGTGTCTTTTAGTCACAGTCCCATACCGGTGAAATTCTGGATCGAGCAGTACCTATCTGCTTGCCATGACTCTTAGACGCAGTCTGAAAAATATTTAGTCTAAGTCAAAGTTCATAGTTCAAAAAGTCACGGAAAAAATTCTGAAATATTTCGGTAAATCATGTTGTCCTTATATACCTATAGTGACCACACAAAAATGGACCACGTGAAAACTACCTTCTTCAATTCTAAATTCGTATAATATCATCAAGAAAATCGAAATTTATTGCAAGATAAACGAAATTTAATCTTCCTATCTAGATTACATGCAATAATAGTGATCTATATGCATTGTTTATTTGAAGTGTGAAAAGCGATGAGCAACAAAAAAATGCCATTCATCCTGACGTGAATCTGCTCCTCTTTGAACTTGACAATGTGATTGACGACGACGAAATTGAATTCATACCGACCAATCTTTTAGACAAATCCATGATGGCTCTGATACTCTGGTCGATCGATAGACGCGAAGACTACATTTATCCGCCGTCCAGCTCAGAGGATCACGCCGATGCCGATCGTCTTGTGGCTAAACTTACACAAGTACATTTCGATCTTGGTGGCAGTGCTCTGGATCGTAAAGGGTTTGTACGCGATGTATTCTCGTTAGGTGATCATCAGTGGATGATTTCGGCCCAGCAGTATTATTCATTTATCGACTACTACGATAATCCAATCGTGCCTAATGCCGTTTTTAAACTAATTGAATGGACCGTTTATCCGATTGACTTCACAGACGGTTTTGCGCCTGCATATCATCTCGAGCGCAGTGGGAGTGAAGAATTTGGCTTTATCTACATATTAGGACGCAAATTATATCCACATTATCATGAATCGTTGGTTAACTTTTTCAATCGATGTCCATCATACATGGAGCTCAAGGCGCTTATTATTGGTGACGTGACGGGTGAAGCACCACTCATATTCCTCGTTGCGTCTGGTTATAAGGGATAATGGAAATCTCTGATATTTGTTAAGATGTTAGACAATTTGTTTCCTTTTTTCAATATACAATTTACTGATTGTGTTTTGTTGTATCTTTCGACGAGAAAAATATTCATAGCGGAGTTTATTGAAATGTGAACATTCACACCAAACAGCGTAGGTGAAGGGTGAGATATGGGCGACTGGCCTGTTGAGTATGGGTTTGGTCTGGTCTCATCAAGATTTTTTTGAGATTGATAAGCGTAGTTAGAAATATGCCTTTACTGTGTTCTTACTCTTTCCTCTTCTCTTGTGCCAACACCAGCGTCACGTCATCATACTTGTCTCTATCCCTAGGTCGTACCATCTATTTGTGTGTGTGTTCTTGCTACCCTTCCCTCGCTCACTTTCTCTATATTTGATGTAGTAGAAGTGTGTATAAGGAGAAGGCAGTTCTCTGTTATCTTCTCCCGTACACATCGACCATGAAAACGCGATTTGATAGACTGGTTCTTTGGAGCAGCAGTGCCAAAATGTTGTGCAGTCGACTCTACCTTCCTCTCACCCTTCGTCAACAGATTTGTGTGAACCTTCAGTGATGCCAGAGATTCAAACGTTTTCACCTTCGGATCCTTCAATATTAAGATGAAGCAAAGTCCTATTTGCAACAACAAGAAAGCATTTAAAGTAGGTCAACTACAACACGTGTAAGCTTCCTTTAGCTCCGCGAAGATCAATATCAATGCGGCTTGGTGCTCACCATTTTTCATCCCAAGGATGAAAGAAAACCTTTAAAGAATAACCAGGCTGGAAATAGAATTCATTTGCCAAGTTTCTGTAACTCGATTTTTATAACAAACCAATTCAATTTAATCGAAAAATCCAAAACTTTTTTCGCCGAAGATGCTTTCTTGGATGAGATGTAAATCGAGCTAAAACTCATTCTCAATCAACGATCGGACAAGCTCGGCTAAATAACTGCTTCACCATCCATATTTTGCAAGAGAAACTAAGCACTATTGATCCCGTCGACACTTGTCTAGAGGAAGCTTTACTTCCGTTCGAGAGTGCGGACAACAATAATTAACAGCTGGCTCGCTCCTTTTTCGGTCATATTCAACTGATTCAATGGCTGCTGCTGCGAGAATATCTGTATACGATTGAGATTCATTATCTCTCTCTCTCTCTCTCTCTCTCTCTCAGTGATATTTCATGTGTATTGTTATCGCGCCTCGCCACTGAGCATGGTGTAACGTATTGCAATGGGCTATGGGGTTTAATTAAATAGCATCTACTGTGCACGCTAACAATTCTCGCTGGAATATTCAGCTGGATTCAACTGATCTTTATGGTCCGCACAGTTGTTAAATTTCTACCCACTCACTAAAAGCCTTAGATCTTAACAGCTGTTTTTCTCACAGGTTTTAACCTGGCCTTTTTGTCTGATCGGATACAAAATCAATGTTAACACGCATTACACTACCACGTTCGTCATATTCACTACTACCATTAAAGCAACAACAACCAAAAATAGACTATTATTCTTCCAAAACTAAAGCCCTGCACATGTGTAATCGTGGCTTAGTAGTACACAGGCGGTTGCAAGAAGAATGGGTATGTTTTTGTCTATTAAGTTTCTATGGTGAATTTTGTCAATATTTTAGTGATCGTATAACAATTATCACACATCTAGATTTAACTAATTATTTAAATACCGATATAATCAAATTTTTAGCCACATTTAATTTTAATGATTAAACACTGGATTATCATGAATTTCATGTAAATCCATTACTAGAAACTGGTGATGACTATATTAAACACAGGTTTTATTTTCTCTATTTGAGAAACAGATCAATGATTAAACATAAACAGAATCGCTATTTTAATCGTACTGATATTGAACAGAATCATCTATATTTTGTGAGATTTGAAGCTTACGAGTTAATCTCGACTTTAACACCAACATTCATTAATATTTGGAAATATCCAATCTATTGATTATCTTCCCACTTTTCGACTAGCTAAAGCTTTACGTATGAATCAAACAAACACTACTTGTTCAATCGATCATTGTAGCTTGAATAGCCGATGCTATCGTGTAATTAAGGGTACCCCCCTCTTTTTTGACCCTCTTGAAAACCGGGGACGCCGATGTCGGATCGGGGTGAAATTTATAACAGAGATAGAACATCGAAAAAGAAAATCGATGTATTTTTGCATAGAATTTTGTGACGTGT